CAGTGAAATGTGGCAACAAAACCATTGATTTTTGATGATCCTGTATTTATTTTGCTAAAATAAGAGACCTCATCTTAATTTAAATTCTACACTAGCTAACCATTCCAATGCATCTAAGTAGTGCGATGGAGTTCATGAAAACTGCCTTTTAATAAATATGTTAGCCTGGGAAGGTGCTTCCAAGGCTTCTTGGATTTTTGGCTAACATACATTAACAGAGCTCTTATCCTACAATATGAAAGTGTTCTAAGTCTCAAGGCACCACTTTTGTCTTTTATGTCTTCAATTTACCTCTCAAATGAATGGAACGTTTTATCACATCCTCCTCCAAATGAAGAAAAATGAAAATATCCCCAAAATGTTGCCCTCCCTCCTCTTTCCAGATTTCAGAGCAATATGAAGCAGTCAATCAGGCATAGCTGTCTGAGCTCTGGAGATAGTGTTGGCATGAGAGATGTTTAGCATGAGTAGAAAGAAATGATGGATTGATTTCTGCTACATGTAGAATTTTTGAGAGGTCTTGTTTTAACAAATAATTCATCTAAGTGTCCAAACTGAACACCCTCATATGAATTTTTCTGCTCCACTACAATTCATTCGTTTTTCTCCTCCAGATTACTGAATTTAGACTAAAAATATCTCGAAGGCTATCTGTTCTAAGTGTCTGCTACAAACAGGGCCATCAATCCATTAGGTAGTGTCCAATCTACTATACTCAGATTGCTCTAGGTACAAGTGGAGGACAAACGCACTGAAGAAAAATGCTTGGAGATCCAGACTTAGCAAGAGATGGAGGATCATAGCAGTTTCTAAGTAATATTACATTTGCTTTCACTTTCTCTATAGGGCTTGAAAGGGACAAGTTTGACAACAAAACGGTATCCTTTGAAGAGCACATTAAATGTGAACACAATATGTGGAATTATCTGTACTTTATAGTACTGGTGAGAGTGAAGAATAAGACAGACTACACAGGGCCTGAAAGCTATGTGGCGCAAATGATCAAGGTATGCATGGTGTAATTTCATAGAAATGAAGTTATAATCAAGTTTGTTATTCTCTTTGCAAAAAAACTGCCTGATTTTCTTGAAAGAAATTCTTCTCACTGTTCCAGATTCTATAGATGCTGTCCATTATGACGTTCATACCACACTTCATAGGGTATTTGGTTTCTATTTTTTTAAACAGATGGGATTTATCCTTTTTAAAAAAATTGTTTAGAAAGTCAAAGAACCTAAATGTTTGTGACTAAGTAGGAGTGATTGCTTTTCATTTCTGGCTCACTCCTGGCTTTCACTAGGCATTTATGTGGTTGACATGAGAAGGGTGGTGGTGGCAGCCGTACCAGTGTTGCCTTTGTGGAGACATATCAATCCAATTTTAGGATTGGTTTTGGAACAGGGATTTGCCTGGTTGTCCTACGGCATGATCTTTGCCAACTTGAGGAGACTATGCAGTCTTATTGAACAATGGATTCTTTGTAGATTTGTGAAATTGAGCCACCATATTGCTGCAGTTCTACTTTTACTTGGAAAGATTCTGAAACATGCAGGCAGACTATTGTTCTCTTCCATGGAATTTACATAATTCATGTTCTCACTAATTTTGGCAACCAGGATGCTGAACCACCACCAATTTATAAATGACAACTAGTCCTGCCTCTTTTTACACATAATATAAAGAAGTTGAAATTCTGAATCCAATGCCGAAGTAGGACAATGGAAGGCCAGTAGAACCAAGTCAGAAAAGATAGATAAGTTGAAATATTTGGCTGAATATTTATGCTGTTCTGGAACACAAATAATTCCTTCCAATATAAATGAAAGTGATGTGAGACTCATCGCCACTAGCAGCAATGATTTGGGTGGTTCACAGCATTTGCTAATCAAGAACCCCACAGTTCAACCCTAAACTACAAATATTCTATCGGTATTTGCTAATCAGGTATGTCTCATATAGATCTATGACTGTTCCTAGAAAGAGGGGACATCGTGATAACTGTTTATCTCACATTGTTCTTGCAATTATTCAAAATAGCCTGGAAACATTTTAACTATTCTGTATATATTTTTACACTAGCTGCCAGTATATTTCCAGACACATTTCAAAATGTTTATTTTGATTGTCAAAATTTCAGAAGATTTGGGATTAGGTTACCTTAAAGGAGGAGGTTCTCTGATATTTATCTCCTAATTATCATTTGAGATTTCTGCTAGGTACCTTCAACTCATTTATCAAGTGAGTCAGTAGCTCCAAAGAAGGCATTATTAATAGAAACACCAATCCAGAAAGACTCATCTGGCACATACATAGTAGAGATTTTTTTATTTAGGTTATATAACTCAAATAAATTTTAGTTCCAGCTAGGAGATCTTACTTTATTTTCATTTTCTTACTGTATATTTTGTTTCTAACAATTCTAAACTCTGCTTAAATTCCTGATTTTTTTTTTCCAATAATCACTGCAGAACAAGAACTTGGATTGGTTCCCTCGGATGCGAGCCATGTCCCTGGTCAGTAATGAAGGTGAAGGAGAACAGAATGAGATCCGATGCCTTCAGGATAAACTGAATTGCACCATGAAGCTGGTATCTCATCTCACTTCACAGCTAAACGAGTTGAAGGAGCAGGTAATCAAAACATCTAATATTTTTTCCTCTTTTTACTGGACTATATAAATTTCTAAAATTTAGAAAGGGCTAAAATAATATTATGTATTTTGAAGGACAAAAATGTCTCTCACTAAAAAATGACATACTGATTTCAGAAAAATGTAGAACATGCATTCAGTTTTCTGACAAATCCTCATCTGTGTCAGAAATACAATTTACTATTCAGGAAACAGCAAGCTTCCTCTCAACCCTAAGTTTCAAATTATGCTTACCATTTACTTGCACCAAATTCCCAATTTAGTTTGTAATCAGCATAAGGCTTGCCTTCAATTTTTTAAAAAATTGCATTTGGAATAGTTTACCCTCTGGTACAAAGTATAGCTGCAGTGCATTATAAAAGTTTATAATATGGTATTTATTTATACCAATAACTTGTATGAAGTGGAGGCATACCCAAGAAAAGGTTTAGAGATGTTTGTAACAGCTGTTATTGCAAAGTATCTGAAGTCCTTTATAGCTCAAGAACTATATTGTGAACCCTTAATTAGAAAATTTAAGAACCATGTTTTAATGTTCCTTTTTTTTTTACTGCAAATTTCAGATGACAGAGCAAAGAAAGCGGAGGCAACGAATGGGTTTCGTGGATGCTCAGAACACAATGAATCACTGAGACAGTGGAATCCAAGTTTTCAGACTAAAACTGTAGAATAGATATGTATGCACTTCCTGAAGAGATATTGGTACTAAGTTCCTTGCAAAGTTTTTATTGACAACGAACATTGGTCCAGGCTGTGACAATTCATAAAATCTCAGCTCTTCCTTTTATCTCAAGCAGGATTGATTGAAGGCATTTACTGGTAATTCAGCAAGAAACTGAAGCCATGACTAATTGTTTCTTCATATGCATTCAGTTTGCCATACCTTTGAACTGTATTGTAACTGTTCCTTCTTTTTTTCCTTCATGCACTACATTTGGATGGCTACATAGCCAGGTGCAAATAGAATTGACAGTTGTCAGCAAGTAGTAGCTTGCTACCTTTTTAACTTATTCAAAGATATATGGAAAGTCACCATATAAAGATGCAAGAGTTTCATGTTAAGCCTTTTGAACACATGAACATTTTGTGTCTAGAATCACATCTCAACCAAGAAGAAATTGCAAGAAAATATTCTATTAAGTTAATAGTTTAAGCAATCATATAATTCATAAAATGGCTTTTTTTCCCAATTGGTAAGACTGGACGTTAATGAAAGATTGCACGTTCATGCTGCAGTACGAATGTGCAATTTGTGCCTTGTTCACTTAATAGCATAAAGTACTTTTAGAATTCATCCTGCTTCCAGGCACTAAAGGTTTTTGGAAAATATTTTAACTGTCATGGGTGTCAGAAATATCAGTTATAATTAATCTACATCAGTGACAGACTGGAGCTGCCAAAAAAGTGGGAGGAAAAAAGACTAGGGCTACAAGTATAAAAGTTCTGAAATATGAACTTAAACGTTCCTTGACAGAATAATTTGCTCCTCTGAATTTAGAACACTTGTGAAAGAAAAAGCCCTCTGTAAAATCTACTTCTGCTAGTTGCTGTCAAATGTAAACAAAAGACAGAAAACAGTTGTCTATATTAAGTGTGGCCAGTTGTCCATTAGCACTAGTCTACGGGGGAGATTAGAAGCAATCAAGGAGTCTTGTTTCATTCACATTTGGACCAAAGCAGAGTGTTCTTCAAATATACAGACTGCTGTGCAGATTTAGTAAGAAAAGTTTTTACTAATCATAAATCCAGCTTTGTAATTTATCTTCATCTGGTTTGTTTCTCAAACACTGTTTAAAATGTTAATATGTGAATCTTCTGAAATTTAAAACACAAAATCAGTATAATAAATGGAAAGCAGATGAAAACAGTAGCCTCTTGATAAACTTGTCAGATGACAAATCTTGACCAATTTTCTAAATAATTGTTAGTCACTTAAGGTTAAAATTCTAAAGTATTTTAGAAGTCATATATTCTAATCTGCTCAATGTATAGGTTCCCCAACCTTTCTGGCTTTGTGGAGAAGGGGGGGGGATTGTTCTGCGTGAGTTTCAGGCGTGTGCACAGCTCCATTTGCGCACGCACCTGCCCAGGGATAGGCAACCTTGGCTCTTTTATGACTCATGGACTTCAACTTTCAGAATTCTTGAGCCAGCATAGCTGGCTCAGGAATTCTGGGAGTTGAAGTCCACGAGTCATAAAAGAGCCAAGGTTGACTACCCCTGCACTGGCCTATTGCTTGTGCAAGTGGGGATGTGGGTGTGCCCACCACTTCTACAGACCAGTTCTGAATGGCTCAAGGCCTGGTAGTGGACCATGACCTGGGGACTCCTGATATATACGCTTTCTCTTCCTGGTTCTATGGAACCATGGCCACAGTGACTTGTGAACCACAAGATCTGTGTATGTGCTAATACATGTTTTGGCACGCTTGCTATTTTGTTAGGATACTACCATGTCACACTGGTTTTTGCTGTTATTTCCTGGCCACTGAGAATGGATTTTATGTACATTGCAGCAAAGAACATTTGGGAGCTGCCCATGTATTTGGAACTACTTTGCTATCTCAATCGATTTCACAGGCAGCAGTCATAGAATAGAAATTTCTCCTCTCAATATTTAATTTTGCACAACATATGGTAAGCTTCTTTTTCCCCAGAGTAAGTGCTGCCTTTCCCGTAAACAACACACAAGCTAATTAACAGTAAACAGCCACACATTTCTGTCACAGAATCCCAATGTTAGATTTGTTTTGTTTTGACATGAACTATAGTTCTGTTAGGCTCCAACACATCAGTTGCAAGATGACATTCATACTGAAGATAGGTAAACACCCACAGCATGTAACTATATCATTTCCTGTTCTTCAGATGGACTTCCTAAGTCTTTATAAACCAATGTATTCAAATGGAGCTTGTTTATCTCATTTCAGAATAGCTTTCCATTGTCCTTTGCTGGTAACGAGGTTTAGCTATACCGGCAAAAACAGTGCTTTATGAAACCAGTTAAAGACCAAGTTATTATTTGGAATCTTCTTTGTGATGCTTGGCGGAGAATTTTTCACGTAACCTTTTCAATTTTCCAAGCTTTCCTTCTTCCAGCTGCTTCAATTGTTCTGAAAACAGTAGTAGTTGAATATAAATTAAGATAGAATACTTTCTAAAAAATGTTTTATATTTCTACCTACTTATTTAAGAATGCATTACAAAATATAGGTGACTAATGTACCTCTTCCAATATGCAATTGGAAGTCACAACAGATTCTACCTCCCTAATCCACATGCCTTTGCAATCCATACAGTTGAATATTCACAATCACAAGCAATAATTCTGTTTTAAGCTACACCTTCAAAACCCTAAAATGCAAAGCATTAGTTTCCATCTAAATTTTTGCTTCACTGCCTGAGGCAATATATTTTCTTTATTCAGTACGGCAATTCTAGAGCCAGGAAAAAGTAACATTTTCTATGTGTACTGAACAAAAGCCTACAATTTAGCTCCACGCCACTCTAAAGATATTTTAAATGCATTCTGCTGTTTTGAGTGTATAAACATATACAAAAATTAAATCATTACAACAGAAAACTCTTGAATGATAATAGCTTTAGCTTCTATATAGTATACCCTATACAGAGGAGGCATTATACATTTACCTCTATTCCTTTTCATCTTTTTAATCCAAAGAAGAAAGTAAGCAGATAAAGGATATGAAATTCCTGTTACAATTCTTATATGTTAGTTTTTGGCTGATCCTCCTCAGCAGCACATACTAGTAGTCCTTGACTTACAACTGTTCAAGGACTGTTTGAAGGTATAAAGGCCCTGATAAAAGTGATTTACAATCAATCCTTGCACTATAACCATTGCAGCATCCTCAGAGTCACATAATCAAAATTCAGGTGCTTGTCAACTGGCATGTATTTATGACAGCTGCAGCATCCTGGGTCATGTGAACATCATTTTGTGATCTTCCTAGCCAGTTTCCGACAAGCAAAGTCAATAGGGGAAGCCGGATTTGTATGGAAGAGTTGTATGGAATTATGTCATAACCACTGAATTCCAAGAGTCATGTGACTTTAAATGGAAGAAATATGAAAATGGCAGTTGGGGCTATGAGAAATGGCTTGCTCCATTAAGCTTAAAGTAGCCTAGAAGATTACATGAACAAGGGCACCCTTTTTATGTTGAGTGACTCATGCATTTCTTTTTTTTAAAAAGCCTGACATATCTACTCTTTAAATTGCTCACAGCTTCTTTGGATTAAAAATGGATGACTGTGTTTCACTTTACACCAACATAAAACTTACAGCCACTACGATACAAAGCTCAATGAGGGGCACTGAACTAGTCTTTTACAAGTGTTTTTAGAATATATTTGAATTCATAGCAAAGCTGTTGACAGGAAGGAAAAAGTTAGTGGCAGCAAATTCTTGTGTGGAAGAGGCCAAAGGAAGAAAGAAAAAATGTACAAAAACTATACATAAATCTACTGTACAAAAGACACTAGATTTATGCCCATAAATGTTGTTCCCACAAATACTCAAACAGTTACTACAGTTTAATTACCTGTTGCAAGGACCAACTTGCATTCCTCCACTGGCACTCCAGAGAAGTTTGTATCTCTCAGACGTGGATACTATTCCAAAAAGAAAAACAGATATATAAATATACACCTTACTTTCTCTAATAGAGAAAAATGTTTTTGACAAGGTAATGTACTGCATGGCATGAAATGAAATAAATTTACTAGGTACTAGAGCAGAGGTCCCCAACTATGCGCTGCGGCCCACTACCGGGCCGTGGCATCTTGGCCACTGGGCCGCATAAGTGGCTGGCCAGTGTGGGCGTGCATGTACGCGCACTCACCTCCTCCTTGCACCAGTGCTAGCAAGCCGTGAGCCTCAGGCGTTAACTGAGCTACGAGGCTCTCGCTGGCAGTAGCTAAGCCATGAGTTGTGAGGCTCGCTGGTGCTAGCTGAGCTGCAAGACTCTTGCCAGTGCTAGTCAACCTGTGAGCTGAGCTGTGCGCTAGCTAGCAGCCCCATTTGTGGAGCATCACGGTCCCGTTTGCACACATACATCCATATTTGCATGTGCACACATAAAGGCGCCTGCTCCTCCCTTTCCCACCGGGCCAACGCAGAAAGGTTGGTGACCCCTGTACTAGAGTCTTGTTATGGTAATTAACAGATGTGCATATTCAGATATATAAATGTATACATATTTCAGACTATTTTCAAAGATTATACAGAATTTAAGAACACAATTGTCTTTTTCGTCAACTAAGATTTTGAACAGATCTAAACAGTATCCCTAGTATCAGAATTAGAAAACTATAAAGAGAGCAGTCACCACATAACTATACTTACCACAATTGTAGAACTCACCTTATTTTTATAATAATTAGTATGAATTTTAGTTAAACTTTCAAAAATTTCATCGCAAGTCACTGGGTCAGCAATCTGCAAGAATAGATTATAGTAAAAAAGGAATTAAAAACTTATATAAGTCACAATAATTAAAAACAGATTACATGTTCTTAATGTTTAGAAGATGTTTCAGTTATAAATTATAACTGCCATACCTATTCAGTTGATTATCAAATTAAAAAGTTTCCTAAAATAGAGTTAACATGAATCTTGCATGTGAATTCCATTTTTTGTCAATCTTCTACAAATCAAAGTACATAATCTATAGAAAGAGTAAATATGTGATTAAAACAGCCCTAAATATGCCCACATAATGAACGTAACACAAAAAATAATCACTGGGATATGGACATGCAGTATGGACTTATGCCCATGGTGGATAATACTAACATCTACCATCCCACAAGCGCTGGATCCAGGTCTCGTTCACTTTTTTTTTATTTTATTTTATTTTATTTTAGGATTTATATGCCGCCCTTCTCCCCATGGGACTCAGGGCGGCTCACAGCATATTAAAACATCGTACAAAAAATTTCCCCTACTAAAAACCAATTAAAACCCAAATATTGGTAGCTGTGGCTCTTTAAAATCGTTAAAAATTGTCCCTATTTAAAACTCATCCTAGGTCAGGCCCGCTTGTTGAAA